TTTAAAAGTTTTATAAATGAAAAAAAAAATCTCAGCCAAAATTGCACAGGATGCACAGAATCACCTAATGAGTAGGGAGGCAAACTTTATACCTATTTGACACAGACATTGCAAGAGAATGGCAGCACAGTGGTGCAACTCCCAGAAGCTGCTGGAAATAATGAGAGAAAGAAAATTAAGGGTGACACAAGAAAACAAACTGAGAAAGGTAAACAGCTAAAAAAAAAAGATATATCTTTGAATCAGTCACTGCCATTAGTTTGGGTTTTAATACAGGTCTTATGGTCTAAGACTTATGATGGTTTAAAATCTTATGATGGTCTAAAATCTGTGATGAGAATAACTTGCTTTAAAACATGTTGTTAAATTGCTCAGTTAGTTAGTTTAAACTAAAGCAACAGTTGTCAGCTGTGCCCCACTGTGTTGTGGACCAGCCTGAAGAGACAGCTGCTGAATGTGTTTGTATTGATTGTGTTTTCTGGCTTTGTTGGTGGTTAGATGGGCTCACACATGCCTGGTTGTGACTGAGTGCTTGTTCGGGTACATGAAGCAGATATACAGGATGTGTACCCCAATAGGCTTAAATTGCCCAATGAATGTCTAGGATAAAAATGCACATGGTACTCCTGGGAAAAGTTATAGTTTCAAACATACGGATTTCTTTTTGACAAGGCCTATGTAAGATTTTCTTTTTTTCTTTTCCCTCTTGCCTTTTCAGATCGTCTATATACCGGTCACACTGAAGCTGAATATATGACCTCTTGTTATTGTTAGGATATCACATTATTTACTTTTGTCCTCCACAACATCCACACTTAAGTTGAACATATACCACTGTAGACTGATGCAGTGCTCCTTGGGTTTAATGATTTTTCTGGGGGGAAGGGTTTTTGGATGTAAATGTGCGGACTCTTCCTAGTAAACCACGTTATTCATCCCATCCCATAAATATACTGTTCATTAAAATGCTCTATTAATGAATAAATAATGCTCTCATTTTCATAGCACGCCACTTTTAACTCCTGAACCACTAGTGCATCCCTGACTTTTGACACATTGATTTACTATGTCAAAATGATGACTTAGCGTCACATATGTTCAACTTATAGAGTCAGAATGTATCACTTAATATCTTCTTTATTTTTTTGTATCAGTTTTTTCCTTCTCCTGGCATAAACCTGACCGTTGTTGTCATGGTAACAGTAGTCAGGTGACATTTTCAAACGTTCACTTTTTAATAAGGTTTTGGCATCAGAACTACTTGGCTAGGTTTAGGAAAGCGTCATGGTAAAATAAATTTCTTACATCGCAATGGTAGCCATGGGCTTACCCCCATGGCTAGGTGTGACGCAGCAAGAAAATTAAATTGTGGGAGAAAGTGAAAATTGCAAAAAATAGTTGCGATTTTTTTGATTTCGTGTCTGCAATGTCTGCATCTTCACAACTACAAACAAGGAAGTGAGTTTGGTGTTGGTAGCTCAACGTTTTGCACAGGAAACTACAATGGTTGGTCAGATTTGCATAAAAGTTGCGGTGGTTGGACAAAGTTGCAAGGTCCTGTAACCAATTGACAGGGATTGGTCGAATTTGATTTGAAACTTCACCGCTAGATGACACTAAATCCTACAGACTGGCCCTTTAAAATCTGTCTCCTCAGCACCTGTCAGTAAGAAAAAGCTGGACTCACAGTCTCCTCAGTGTAATTTGCTATAAAGCGTCCCATGGCTGCTGAACATGAAAGTGCTGTGTGCAGTTTACTGACATCACCTGCAGTCCACAGTGATGACAGTCAAGAGAAATATTTGAGAGAAATGTGCCAATTTGACATAAACCAAATACTGTACGGTGTACGGTGCAGGATTACTGGCACAGGCTGCCCAAATACACACAGGCTTACGCATATACGCTCTCACATAGGCACCACTATAATTAATTTATGATCCAGTCCTATGATTTATTTTTATCCCCATGTGACCTTATGCGCTCCTTGAATATAAAAAGTCCTCAAGGATTTGTGGTGCTTGGCTGAGTTGAAGGCAAACACACACACACACCTCCCTGACTGCACAGCTAGAGTCCTGCTGGACCATGTATCATAACCCTTCATTTCTCCTCAAATGCCTGAACTCTCTCACCTTCCTTCTGCACCTCTTTTTCACTCATTTCCTCCATCTCTGCTCATCCCTATGGAGCATCTGAAAATAGCAGCCGAGGGAAAAGTGGGTCAGCTGCCATGTGGAGGGGTAGGTGGGTGGGGGTGGGGGTTTGTGTATAGTGACTCTGTCTGTGTGCGTAACCTAACAAACTGTCAGATACCTCCAAATCTCAGATTTTGAAGCTTTTTTTTAAGTGTTGTGCAGCATTTCTTAGTCACACATTTTTCCCTTTTTTTTACATGAAGTAAAAAAATGACAAACACCAACTAATATTTTAATCCTTTAATCTACTAAATGTCTCATAATAGTGACAAATTTCACAATTTCACAAAGGTTATGTCTCTTAATACAAATTGCTTGATGTGCGTCCTGCTCATAGTTCATTTATAAAATCCCAATGCACAACGAAGGGACAGGCATACTGGACTCACATTGCCCACCTTTTTTATCATATTTATAGTTTTGAGGTATGTGGTCATTTTAAGATTCGTTTTGTTTCGATATCAACACAAAAACATCAACAACAGCAACAACAACAACAAACACATCATCATTACAGATAAGTCCACCTTCTCCTGTGTGCTCTGCAGCTGTGACCCCAAGCCAAGACCGAGCAGAGGTTTTCCAAAATCTGACAAGTTGTTCTGAATTTATATGTAAAGACAAAAGAAAAACAACAGGACAAAACAAACTAATAGAAATAGCATTACCTAATACTGTCAGTATGCTGTAAAAAAAAAAATACAAAAAAAA